CTTTAGCAACTATGGTTTCATCAGCAATAATGGAATATGAAGTGAGCTTTTATTTCTACAGATTTCCACATTAATGTTAGTACTAGCGCGACCCGTGGAAAGTAAGAGGTACTTCACCCCTCCTTTCTACCTCTTTCACCCTCCTCCTTCTACCTTCTCGCTTCCTCTCTCCCTCTCCCTTTCTCTTTCTCTTTCCCTTGCCCCTCCCCCTCTTCTCTCACTCCCAGAGCTTCCTAAAATACATCCATTTTTAGCGTACCTCTGCCCCCCCCCCCCCTCACATTTCCCTCCTCCTCTTCTTCTTCCTTAATCTCCCTCGCCTCCTTCGCTCCCTCCCCCAATCCCCTCCGTCTTTCCTCCCTTTGTTTTTAAGCTCCTTACCCACCCTTCCTGTCTTTCCTCTTTAAGCCCTCTTTCCCTCCTTTTTTTTCCCTCTTCTCCTTTCCTTCTTTAAATATTCTTTCTTCTTCCTCTTCTTTTCTCCTTCTCCTCCAACCTTCCTTCTTTACCCTTCCCCCCTCGTGTAATTAATAAATGTGCTTAAACTGACGGCCTAACGACATCAGTACAATGTGCTTGTCTCGATGAATGATGATGATAATGTTAGTAATAATGACCTGATGATGATGATGTGATGATGATGATGATGATGATAATGATGATGGTGATGATAATGATAGCAGGTAGAATGGAATTCCAATAGATTCGTAATTTGCTGCCTGTATGCACATGCGTGGTGTATATGTGTGTGTGTGTGTGTGTGTGTGAGTGTGTGTGTGTGTGTGTGTGTGTGTGTGTGTGTGTGTGTGTGTGTGTGTGTGTGTGTGTGTGTGTGTGTGTGTGTGTGTGTGTGTGTGTGTGCAGAAGTAACGTACGAACGAACGAACGACACCCAAGCAGAATTTTAATATAGCTATAGTGATGTTTAGTTCTCCTAAATCACCAAAGAAATTTTTAAAAAGGATAGTATTATATTTATATTGTTTTTTGTCACTGACTTTTTTCTTTCATTCTCTCTTTGAATTGCAATAAATATAATCCAGAATCATTTACGTGCAGCCATGAATAAGGAAAACCACATTAACTATAACAGACTGCATGGACATCACATTACAAAAAAAAACAGTACATTTCCTATGAATGTGAAGCAGCATCCACTATTTACAAGCCGAATCCTCTTAACAAGAGCCCTCATTTTCGCTTTTTTTCTTCTTCTCAGAACCAGCCCTCAAAGATCGTGTGGGTCGAGAGTTACTTTATGCTAAGGAAAAAAGTGTGAAGTCTCGCTTCGAAGCCTTAAGTAGTTATATCATAGAACGTACCTCACTTTCACCAGTATAAAGCGAAATATCAGTGTATTTGTCTTCTCATCTCTATAAACACAAAACTTTGAGCTAATCTGCTTAAAATGGGGCCCTTGCTGAAGACTTTCCAATGTTGCAGAATATCTATTGTGCTGGCAATATTTGCAGATAATAATGATAGCAAGTAATAAAGAAGGAATGGTTAAGATTACCCTCCAATGGCAACGTGACATTTTGAAAAAGGGCCAGCAAGACTTCGAGCTGAGCATATTACCAATGGACACCGCAAATGAAGGATACATGTCTAAATAAACATCACAGCAACTCACTAAAATTGTATAAGATGGAATATGTAATCCAGGTATATAATTCCCAATACAACTGTTTCATATTTGATTTTTTTTTAATGGTTTTTAAATTTACCCTTCATCTCACGTACTGTCTCTAAGTGAAAGTCTGTAGTAACCAAGCACCTTATATTTTTTTTTTTTTGTATAAATCATACGCACGCACATACACACACATACACACACACATACACACACACACACACACACACACACACACACACACACACACACACACACACACACACACACACACACACACACACACACACACATATATATATATTTATATAAATATAATATAAGATAATTATATTTAAGGGGATGGGGTTAAAGGTATAGGGCGAACAGATCAAATGGAGAGTGTTTCTGAGGAAGGGAGAGTAACACTGTATGAGGAAAACTGCAAAAGAGCTATTATGAAACAATCCGGGGGTAATGCGGTAAGAAATGATAGTTGTAGAAGTAGGAGAAGAATGCAGAGGATGAGATAAGGAAACAGGGGGAGGTGGTGAAGTATCGGGAAGAATGTCAAGAGGGGAGGGATCCGGAGGACATTGTTGTGACCTAAGGAAGTCATGTGAGCATCTAAGTGGGGGTGGTAAGGATAGCGGGGAAGGAAGAGGGATTGGTGATGCACCTGGAGGAGGAGAGGTTGGGGTGTTTTGGGGGTGAATGGGAGGAAGAGGGGTAGGGGGGAACTTGAGGAGGAGGACGGATATCAGCAAATACTTTGATTGTAGAGCGAATAGGAATAGAGAGATTAGAGGGTGGATGAGGAAGAGGATAACTCTCTTGGATCATGTGTAGGAACTTTTGGATGTCTTCAAAAATTTCTGGAGGGGAGTTGGGTGAGGATGTCTGAGAGACAAAGGTTTTCTTCTGTGGAGAAGAGAGAATAGATGCCCGAGGAGGAGAGGGAGGTGAATGTGGTAGAAGATAGATTGGAACATTTAAATTGTCTGGTGAGACAGGTAGAGTGAGAAGAAGGAAGGGTAGGCATAGAGGAAGTGGTAAAGATTGGAGTATCTGGATTTAGACGGGAAAAGGAATTTGACATGGAGAGAGAGGAAGTAGAGATAGGATGTTTCAGGGTAGAGAGAAAAGATACTGGGGGAGAAGATGAGCGGAGCGAACTGCTACCTCAGATTTGAGCTTGTAAGCAGGGTAGCTCCCATAAAATACATAATGGGAGCCACCATAACTGGCACACGTGCGTGATTAAGCAGAGCAATTTGAACAATCATGACCAGGTTGGGCACACAGAGAGCTGTGGAGTGACAATGTTTGGCTGAGTGGACAAAACGACAATATTTATGACACTAACGGGGAAGAGGTCGATATGGTCGGACAGGGCAGGACACTCTATTAATATAAACTCCATGGGGGAAGTCATGTCTACGGAAGCTAATCTTGGCAATATTGGTGCAAGACTTACGTTGGTCTCTGGGACGATTAGTGTAGCACTGGACTGCCACTGCATCATAGTCGACGAGGCATGCGAGTAAGTCGTTTTTACAGTCTGACCAGTCCATGTCTTAGACAGGACAATCTGTCGGAGAGACGGAAAGAGTCCCAGTACAAGTATTAAGGGAGGAGTGAGATTCGGCAGGCATAGGTTTACCAGTGAGGTCAGTCAGGGTATCTAGTGCATGAGCTTGGGGACACGGATATAACCGTGACAAGGCATGAACGATCGGAATGACTGCGGAAAGAAACACTGCCTACCTGTTTTTGGAAATATTGTTGAAAGGGAAGGGTATTCTCAGAGCACAGGGATACGGAGAATCACAAAGAATCGATCCTATTTGGTTGGGTCAAAAAGGGTACACAAAAAGTTTGCTGAGATGGAAGTGGTAGAAGGACGAAGACGGGAAGAAGATGGGGTGATATGGAGAGAGGTAGTACTGTTGGGAGGAGGACAATAAAGATGAAGAGTAGTAATAAGGGTGGTAGGGGTGGACAATGAAGACTGTTTAGTAGGAGAGGGAGTGGAGGATGTTTGAAGAGAGGAAGAGGAGATTGAGTAATGACTTGGGTGGATGATTCGGAATGGGTAGAGTTGACAGCAAACATCGAGGGTTAGCGCCGTGATCAAAGAGGAAGGGGTCGGGAAACCAATAAAATCAAATTTAGATAGGCTAGTTGATGAAGGGGCAAGCCTTAATACCCCTAATATGGGTCAAAAATCTTCTTTATTGATCATGGTGACTGGAATAAATGGGGAGAGGAAATGGTCTACCCCACAGTGTTCCCATGAAGGTTATAGACTAGACAATTAACCAAGGGAATGCCGTGCCCATGGCTCCTAGAGGCCGTTCATGATTGACACATAGCCAGCCATTCATCCTTTCACCATGGCTCTCACACCTTCAGAAGTGGACAGAAGACGGGGGTGAAGAATAGAAGGAAAAGGAAAGGAAAAGAAAAGACCATGCAAAATTAGTTGAGGCAAGGGATGAGATCAGTCTCCATCTCCTAAGCCCACCCCCCCACAAAAACAACGACCAAGAGATTAGGGGGTATTGTGACGGAAAGGAAGGAAATCAGTTAATGATCAGGATAAGATGTGTTAGGTGTCAAAGGTTGTAGAACAATGTAGGATAGACTGGTACTGAAATGGGTATAGAGGGGGGGCTTATGGAATATGGTGGCAATTTATATTTTTTCAATTTTTTTCTTCTTTCTGTCAACAGTCCGCAGAAAAATATCAATCAGGAAAGTAAATAAACTAAAAAAGTTTACCTTTGTATTCTTTGTGATATATTTGCAGTATAATACTATTACAAAAAACTAACTTTGCTATAAGCAGCAATTTTTTATTCAAAAGTAACCATTAAAATTACCAACAAAAATGTTTACAGTGCAGAACACTTCCTAACAAGTCTATTTATATTTGTGGCGGTTCTGAGTTCAGTTCCTTAGTACATTTTTTTTACAAACCTCTATTCTCTGTTTTTAAAATATTGATCAACACATAACATTTCATTTTTGTTAAACTTTTGAAAAAATGGCCTTTAATGTAAATCTATAATATGACCAAACATAAATTGTATTCATATCTTTGACACAAGATTTGAAACTAAGCACAATGAAGAACAATCATATTATATTATGTACTTCCCCTGTTCATATTTTGCATATAATACTTTTATTCTATGGGTTTTGGTCTCCTTTTGAAACCAGGGTGCATATGTACCCACACTTCAATCTAGACTGCATTCTCCACTGTCAGGCACAACTATTAATACACAACCAAACATAGGTTGGATAATTATTCCTCGGTTCCTATGATCACCTCAAGTAATTTAAACAATTAGATTATGGATTAAACGTATAACAATTGTGATCCTTATAATTCCTTTAATTATTTACAAATGTATAATGAAAGAAATTGGTAGTTTTATGAAGCAAAACTTCATCTAACATTCCTAATAATATATTTCACCCCTGCTGCTTACTCCTTTGAACTGGTGGAATAAAAGCAGCTCAACATCACTTTATCCCCTTCCCTCACCCTGACCACAACTCAACAGAAGCTCACTCACTGCCTTCCCTCTCTTTTGCTGCCATCATAAAAGAAACAGTGGACGACCTTCCCTCATCACTTTAGATCACTGCCAACTTGCTACTTAGTCCTGTCCTCTGCCATACTATTGTTTCTTTGAGCTGTCCTCTGTCAAAGCCACATGACGAGATGTTTGTGCCAACAAGTCGAGGGGACAACTCTCCAATGAGCCATGTGAAGTCATGACTCAAGAGAGCAACAGCAATAACTTTAAGTTCAGCTACTCAATTGCTCTTATTGGAGTAGGCTGACCACAAGCATTGACCCATGTTGCTGCCCTCATTGTTAATTGTGTTTATCATGTTTTTTTGTATTTTGCACCTCTGGAATGTAGTTCACCTAGACTTACAGATATCTTTGAAGTCCTTTGGTTCAAGACAGGAAACTCTTTCTATTTCATTTGCATGTGTGCTTCACACAGACCTTTCATAAGTTGAATGTTGCATATCCCACTCAATCTTACCAGGTGTATACGGTATGCAATAACTCATTGCACTTCACACATATTGAAGTGAGGAAAAGAGCAGCCACTGTTAGATACACCTTTTACCATTTGCTAGAGTCCACTGAACAGTTATTCTCTACACTAAAGGACTCATTACTCCAATGCTGCCAAGAAAATGTAAATGTAAATGTAATGTAGGATTTTGCGAAATGTCTCTACACAAAAATGGCTCCACAATTGCTTAGTCATCAAAGGAGTCTATCAGTAAACCTCACAACCTAACCTGATTTCACCTTCCCTTAATTTAAAAAAAAAAATTTCCCTTTCTTAATTATCCTATCAATACCAATGATATTGTTATTATTATGTGCATAATAATTATAATTCTATTGACATAACTAATACCAATATAAGATAAAATTAAAACATTTTCAAAAATCAAGGAAACAGGGAAACAGGTGAGATAGATAGTACTTGAAATTGGCTCAATGGTGACTAAGTACTTGCCACCTTGGAGTCAGCTGTGTGAAAAGACAATCAATAAACTAAACTCAGAGTGGCATGGCTTGAATTTACATGCCAATCCTAGCAGCATCAGGTTAACTGGATTGAAAGCCCAATGATCTCCATTCATGTTCTTAACCTAAACAAAGTAAATACACCTTTTTTTCTAGTTTAATGTGAAATAAAATATACTTTAAAAACATAGAAACAATATTCAAATCCACATTAAAGGTGATAACATGCAAAGAAACACAAGAATATCCCAATATATATATATATATATATATATATATATATATATATATATATATATATATATATATATATATATATATATATATATATATATATATGGTGGTCCAATCAATCTACTTCTAGTTTAACACCCATTTTAATAATTAAACCACACAAAAATAATTTGTTCAATATCTGCTTCCATTACAAAAAGACAGTTTTCAATAACTGGAATGAAAAAAAATAAAACAAGGTCAAGGAAAATGCCTTCTCTAAGTGACAGCTATTAATGACTATGCTTTCAGATTATCCTTGACATGCTGAGGGATCTGCTCAAGATATACTCCATGCTTCTGCCCGGCTGCAGAAGCCAAGACACCAGTCGAGTTCCTGCAAGACATAGTAATGTAGTATTATGTAGATTTTTCTTTCCCCTTTACAAAATGTTTTAGTATTTTGCTTTTAACGTTATACCAATCATAACTGATGTGAACCTATTGAACAAAGTAGCACTTCACTCCTAATGACTTACTGATATAATTTTTTCACAATATTGTCAAAATATAGAACTGTATTATCGTCTCTTTAAAAAAATATCCCATTTTAGGAAAGCTTTTGTTACTTCATGGCATTATAAACAATATAAAGGACAATACTAAATGGAAAAAAATGTGTAATTCATTCCACTTACCTGTGAGGTGCAGAAGCATCGTATGGAATTGCATTGCCTTGAATATCAGTCAAAATCCCACCAGCTGCTTCTAGTATTGCTTGTGGGGCACAGGTGTCCCACTTCTTGCATCCTGGGCTTGCAAACACATACAGGTGAGCCTTGCCTTCCAGGAGGAGCATCACCTGTCAATGAATATTTAATTATCAAACTCTGATTCAATATAATTATGATTTGTATATGTCATGGAATATGAAAGGCTGTGGTACTTATTTCAGAATGCTTTAAGTCCCTAAATCTTCAACGACCTTCAAAGACATCAGAAATTTGACCCAAGGCTATGTAAGTATCATCAAAAAACAGCTCCAGAACCTGCTCACCTTATGGCCAGCACCGCCTACTCTCAGCACTTCATCGGGGGAGACCGCGGAAATCGCATCATTAACAGTCGATGATGAATGGGACCTTGTGGTGGTCACAATCAACTTGCCCTCTGGTGGAGGTAGGATCTTCATGCCTCCAACTTCCCCTCCTACAATGCCCCATATTGTACGTCCCAGCTCACTTCTGCAGAACAGCAACCAACACCATTTATTCAATTAAACATAATTCCAAGTCAAACTCATTAGAGTTTCTTTGACATTTGTAGCTCAACAATTCAAATAATTGTACTTTAACCAAATTGGCACAGATGGCAAGAATGCATGCCATGCCCAATGTAATATAACTTCTTTTATTGTATTTACACATAGATGGCCCTACAGGTGATTAGACACCAGGGAGTCTGTTATTAAACCTACCTATCTCACCTGTTTATCCTTTTCCTTGATTTTTGTGAAGCTTCTTTAGTATTATTACATTGTCTTTAAAGCTATTCAGATTTTAATAACAATTTAATCATGAGTGGTTACTAGGGCTTAATGATTGACCTGTTGTTGATTGAGCATCTGTAGAGCCATCTGTATGTAACAAAATTCACAAAAAAGTACAGGGGACAGTTTATAAATCCATAGTCATTGGGTTAAATTAACTTAAGGAATCTACATAATAAAAATTATCTATCAACTTCATATATTATATGTCTGAAGCACCATTTCACATGCACAATGAATATACTAACTTCCCTCTTCATGAAACAAGCAAAGCATTAGTAATTATGAGCATATATTTTCCTAATGTATAATACGAAACACGAAACTCAACATAAACAGAGCCAAAATACACACTATCATGAACCTCAAAGAAAAAAGATCTATAGAAAAGCCACAAAACAGCAACACATAAAAATATATTAATCTCCTCTATGCAATAACAAGTCAAAGCTTCCCTGCAGGATGTTACCATACATTTCAAGGTTCCTTACCCAGGATTCTGGTAGTTATAATAAGGCTGATGAATGACGCCCCCAATGGCTTTCCCTCCTGAGGCTATGCCAATCAAGACAGTGACATGGTCTAGTAAGCCTGTGGGTTCAAAAAGTGTTAGTAATAATATCTATAAACAAGCTTCTAAAATAATGCTGTCACTTTGAATTGCACTCAAATTTTTCATCACTATGTGATATGAATGGTAACTATTTAAAAATTATTTTGACAAAATATTTCATAGAGCACACTAGCATCGTGAGAAAACCTACAAACTATAATTCATCATTTTTAGATATTCATGACTATAATGGCATTGTTAATAAAATATCAATACATTTCCTAAATAACTACTTCTTTTAATGTATTTTATCAAAATTTACAATTTACAGTTTTAAGTTAACTAAACAAATTTACAGGAACACTTGAGTTTAAAAAAGGATGCAATGCATATTAAATCATCGAAAGTTATAAATAAAAAAGCGAGTTATAAATAAAAAAATATATGCAAAAATGTATGGTTATGGGTAGATAACATATACATTTAACTTTAACTATCTATTAACTAACTATTACCCACCATATAACTCAATCTATATATACATAAATAAATACATACACATACATATACATACTTATAAACATAGACATATATAAACATACATAAACATATATTATGTATAGGTATACACTAATATGTGTATTTTTTTTTTACTGCTACAAATGAAAACAAGCAAAAAAATAAATAAGAAACAAAAATGTTGCTATGACCTAAATTCTAACAACAAATGATTTCATCTGTTTAGCAAAACATCTATTCATGCAAAGGAAGCATGCAGTCACAGGAAAAATGAAAAGGTGCAGGCATTCTCCTCCATAACCAAACTAACTTGAGCACACCACTCCCAGTGCTTTACAAACCCCCTGATGACCATTCTTACTGCATTCGAAAGCTTGAGTGGTTGAAAGGAGAGAGAGAAAGAGAGAGAGAGAGAGAAATTGCATTATTCAATCTCAGGGAAATATGTTAGTCATCACATCCATCCCTGTACTACTTGCTGAAGCTTAACTTATGTTTTTTGCTTCATTTTATACATTTTCATACTTTCTTCTTTGTTTTAGATTTACAAAACCATTATCAAGTTATCAAACATATTTTGCACACTAAACACAAGTCATGTGGGGAAAAAGTATTAATATTGTGGTATATTGCCTCCAACCACTCAGACCCTTGTGATAATTGACATATTTATATTATAACACTTGAAATTAATTGACTAATTCTGTTGGCAAGACTAGACAACTACCATTTCATGGCCAAGTAATTTGCTGTTTCTTAACAAAGGGAGGCATTCCTTATACCCACAAACAACTAGCTGCACAATATTTTTTTCGTTATTTCCATTTACTGTCTTTAGATTATCTTGAAGGAATTATGTTTTTTTTTGTTTTGTTTTTTTTCAAAAGTACTTATGAATGCTATATCATTTTATTTAGAGGGGTACCTCTGACTACCACTTGCAAGCTTAGTTATTAAACGCAAGCTTAATTATTATATATAAGA